AAATGGCAGGTAGAGTTGGGATTTTGGACCCGCCGTCCACCAAAATCCACACCTCTAAAGACCGCTATCCGCCAAAGTCCGCCCCGCCAAAACCCACCACCCGCCAAAGTCCGTTGCGCCTATTCATTCAGCTTGTCCCACCTTAAACCCGTCATTTTTTTAATTAATTCTAGTATGTCCAATTCTTGATGGTTTTATTTTATATATTTATTTGTGAATGTATGCAATAGTTTTTTAAATAAATTTTGTTTAAAAGATGCTTTATGAAAAATTATTCTAAAAAATAAGTAAAAAATCTAATTGAGATGTAAAAAAAAACTTTTAATATATTAAAAAAATGAAAAAATAAAAAAATAAAAAAATAAGCGGGTAAGCCTGCCGCCCGTCACTTTGGCGAGGTGAGCTAGATTTTTATATTCATTTTTACTTGGTGGACATGTCCACCCCACTCTTTTTTTAGCGGGCTTAAGGTGGAGCGGGACGGACAGTCCGTTTTGCCACCCCTAATTTCAATATTATTTAAACGAATAGTGTATCAAATTTTTGTGTTTATTAGCTACCACGTTGATGTTTTATAAAAAACTATGCATTTTGTCCAAAGTTTCGAAGATGCATATGTGAACGAACTCTTAAATCAAATTTCAAGGTGTTTCGAATATACATATTTGAAAATATCACTGAATGTTGTTCAAATTATAATAACATATAAACAAAAGGTTTTCGAATATGCATATTCAAAAGACTTTGAAATTTGACTTAGAGTTCGTTTGAATATATATCTCCAAAAAGTATTTTAGAATTTTCAGAAGTTTTTTCACCTATATAAAAGTGTATTAAGAAATCCCGATGACATTATAATTTTTAACAAAACCAAAAACATATATTTTTTTTGTATTAAATCTAATACTTTTTAAAAATTAGAAACTTCTCACGGACTATAATTATTTTATAAATCCTAACTAATCATATTATTGGTGACAAATTATATTAAGAAAAATATTATTCTTACGCCAATAATTATACCTACATCGTATTTGTTCGTTAATACAGTGAACAATAAAATATATAATAATAAAATATATTTTTTAAATATAAAAAAATTATTTTCTAAAATGATGTTATTCACCAATTTTATTACTTCATCAATTAATTTTTTATATTTTATTAACCAATTTTATTTTAATATTAAAAATTACTTATAATACTTAAATGTTTATTACTCAATTTTATCACTTTATTAACTAATTTTTTTTACTTTTCATTAACTAATTTTTATTATTAAATTTTATTTTTAATATCTAAAAATTTATTAACCAATTTCATCACTTCATTAACTATTTTGTTATATCACTAAAAGTCACTTTTCGTCGTACTGTTAATGAACAATGTTTCCATATCATTGTTCATGTATTGTTCACGCAGTGCTCATGATATTGTTCATGATACTGTCATAAATATATTTTTTTATTTAAAAAAATATTATTCATCGTATAAATATAGTAAACAGTATTTTGGTGTAAGTATTGATTTAAATTGTAATGAAGGAATAGCATTCCCGATTAATTTTAAAAATACTTGTATGATAACATGTAATTAGAGGTCTTTATAAGTATAAAATGACCTATCAAATTAAATTACTCCCTCTATCTCATAAAAATATTCCGTTTGCATTTTTTGTGTCTCATTTTTTTTGTCTCAAATAATTATCTTTTTATAATATTAATATGACATTTATTATTACTTTTCACTATTATATTCCTATTTATTGTAACTTTTATTTATTCAACTACTCTATTAGCTACAATTAATAAAGATATTCTAATAAATAAATTTAATTTTATCATTAAAATCAACGTATCTAATCATTTTCTTAAGAACTTCGTATTACTCAAATATGACACTTTATAAGACGGATGGAGTAACGATAAGACAGAGGGACACTTTTAAAACTAATTATTTGTGCTCCAACAATCGGACGCTATCTCTTTAATCCCTGCACCTAATCTCTCACAAGAACACATGGTTGGAAAGTCTTGTGGATGCACAAGATTAATAAATGAAAGAAAGATAAGAGAGAATATATTTACTGTAATGACGACTAGAAAACTTACAAAAAGAGTAATGATACAAATGATTGTTACTATTAGTCTATTTATACAAAAAAGTAAATTGTCATGACGCCTTAATAAAAGATAAACTTAATGACTACGTTAAAAGGTACAAACTAAAAAATACTAAATTTAACAACCAAACTAACAAACTCCGCTCCAAAACCCCCAAAAACTAAACATACTTCTGGACCTAACTTCATAAGCTTATGTTTCTGACTAATAACAACTTCTGATTACATCAAACTACTGCTTCTCTAACTAAGCAGTCTCAGAAACTTATAACTTATGACTAACAGCCTCATAAGCTTTACTGCTTCTGAATAACATCTTCTGAATATGAATTACTTCCAACACCATCCCTTAATTCATATTCAGCTAACCAAAACTCTTCAACACCAATTACATCTCTCAAACGGATAAAGTGTCCAATCTTTACATTCTTCGTCAAAACATCTGCAAGTTGCTTTTGATTGCTATAGTGTGCAACTTCTAATACTTCATTTAGAAATACAGATTTCTCCTTGAAAATCCATTTGACGTTGATGAATTTTTTCTCCTTTAGAAACTCATTTAACTCTGAAGTATTGTTTCTTTATGGCCTCTGGACTTGTTCAGAATCTCCTTCTAATTCTGAAATCGTATCTCCTTCTAGAGTTTCTTCAGAAAATTTACTACCATCAGAAGCTCTACCTTTGTAAACTTCTAAACCTCGTCCAGAACCACTACCTTCAGAAATACCACCTTTAAAAGTTGGATCGCCTTGAGAAGCTCTACCTTCAGAAGTTCCACCTTTAAAATTATGTCTTTTAGAAGCTCTTCCTTCAGAAGGTCCATCCTTGGAGTCATGATTTCCTCCAGAAACATGATCATTTTTAGAAGCATGTCCTCCAGAATCTATGTCTTCAGAATTTTCCCTTCTAGAAGCATGATCACCACCAGATTTTGGATCAAAATCTGAATCAGAATCAGATTCACCATCTGACTCATCTTCAAAGTCTCTAAAAGATTCTTTATCTTCTGACTCTAGCTCTTCTTTAGAACTTTCAAATTCTAACTCATCTTCAGAAGCAGAATCTTCATATTCCGACTCATCTTCTGATTCTTCTTCAGACTCAGAATCACCTTCAGATTCTGACTTGTCTTCAGCTTCAGAGTCATCTTCTAACTCTGAGTCATCTTCAAAAACCTCAGATTCTAACTCACCTTCAGAATCTTCAGCATCATCTTCTGATTCTGATTCATATTCAAACACTCCTTCAAAGTCAGAATATTAAGAATCATCTTCTTCTCCTTCAGAATTAGAACATGACAATCTCACAGGTTCTTCATCGGATTCATAAGCCATGATCAGCAGAAGTTCATCATTTGAATCTGCTCTGACTATTTTTGCTTCTTTGTTTGACCAACAATCTTTAACAAAGTGGTCAAACCTATTACAACAGTAACACTGAACCATTCTCTTGTCATGCTTCTCCTTTCCCTTCTGATATTTTTTTACATCAGAATAAAAGACTTCTGACTTCTGAAAACTACTATGTCTTTTCTGCTTCTGATCCTTCTTGACAAAAGAAGGTTTCAGAGCCTACTCAACTTCCTTCTTAAAAAAATTTTCAGTCAAACGCAACTCTTGCGCCTCTAGACTACTTTGCAACTTTTCTATTCTCATGGTTTTCATATCTTTATAATGTTCAATTGCTACAATAATGTAATCAAATTGAGAAATAAGTGACCTCAATGTCTTCTCAGTGATTACTTGTTCAGAAAGAATTTTTCCACAATCCTTCATCTCATTAGTGATCATAATCACTCTAGAGATGTACTCAAAAACCTTCTCATTGTCTTTCATGTTGAGATTCTCATATTGCTTTCTTAGGGACTGAAACTTCATCTTCTTCACTGATGTGTCACCACCGTAATTTCTGACCAGTATATCTCACTCGCCCTTTGACATCGTCGAATCTGCAATCCTCTAAAACATGTTCACATCCACACACTGATGGATGTAGAACGTCTTCTAATCTTTCTTCCTCTTATCTCTCTGTGTGTTTCTCTGCTCTTCCGTTGTATTTTCCGCAACTGAAACATAACTTTCGATAACAAGCTTAAGCACTGAACATCACACGCATCTGAATCATCCAACGATTCTAATTCTTGCTATCGAACACTGAAAGCTTAGTACTCAGATTACCGTTTCCGTTCATCTTCAACCTTGTACATAACACTAAGATCTCACAAACACAGTGTTTCCCAATCTCACAGAATCAGAAAATATGATTTTGTTCAGATTTTGTTCAAGATTCAACACGAATTCAAGAACCAAAATCAATCACATGTTTCACTCGTGTTTCTCATAAATCCAGTCAGAACTCTATATACCAATTTGTTGGTGCACAAGATTAATAAATGAAGGAAAGGTAAGAGAGAATATGTTTACTGCAATGGCGACTAGAAAACTTACAAAAGAAATAATGATACAAATGACTGCTACTACTAATCTATTTATACAAAAAGTAAATTGTCACGTAGACCCTAATAAAAGGTAAACTTAATGACTAAATTAAAAGGTACAAACTAGAAAATACTAAACTTAACAGCTACGCTAACAAACTCAACTCCAGAACCCCGGAAACTAAGCATACTTCTGGACGTAACCTCATAAATTTCTGCTTCTGACTAATAACAATTTCTGATTACATCAAACTACTACTTCTAACTAAGCAGTCTCAAAAGCTTACAGCTTCTGGCTAACAACCTCAAAAACTCTACTGCTTCTGAATATAAATTACTTCCACCAAATCTTTTATTGAGAACCTATATACTCTATCCAAAATAGCAACACCGCAGCAAAATTTAAGGCACTGTCCTTTTGATTGACCCTAAAAAAAGGGTATGGTCCGGAGGGTCCATTACAAATGTTTGTGTGGTTCTTTCTTCTATCTAAATAAATGTGTAAATAAATGTGTAGAACAGACGCATACTATACATTATTATTATTGTAAAAGAATACATTATAGTTATTTCAAACATATGATATCCAGGTTCACTACCAAAATTGGATGACTCCACTCCAATATGCCAACATATCCACAAGGAGACGGAGAAGATATATTAAAGTAAAATCTTCCGTTTAATAACATAAAATTACCTTGAAACTACTATAAGTTGAGTTTCAACACATCTCACCAATTATGTATCTGAGAAGTGATGTTTTTCTCAACTGGATGATATTGTGTATGCATGTATCTCTTGGCTTTCTCAGAACCAGGCTGCTCAAGCCACTTGTCGTATAAATCTTTAATAATGGGATTGTCGAATGGATCTGCTTCCAAAACCTATCACATGGACAAAAATAATCATTCCCTGTGTAAAATTATAAGCCTCTGAAAAGAGAGGCAATAGAAAACCCCGGTGAAGCTATTTACAAACTGACCGGTTTGAAGCAAGAATCAATAAATTAATTTTACAGCTAACCAACCAGGGAAATAAATTTTCAAAAAATATTAGTGTTAAATCAAAGACAAATCGTTAGAAATCCTCAAAATTGGGTTCAAAGAAAGAACACTATTTTATAGAGATTAAGAAAGAATAAATAAGGAAAGAATAGGAGAGAAAACTATATTCCAAGGATAGAGTCGCTATTCCAAGAATAAATAAGAACACTATTTCCCCTTCTACGATAGAGTCGCTACTCTATTTACAAGAATTTACGATACTCAAATAGCCCTCTCTAACTCCATAACCTCTTGATTTATACCCGATAACCCTAACAGCCCCATTAATTCATACTCCATACCTCATCCTAACAAAACTCCCCTTTTAAACTATATAAAAACAATACACCCCCTTCTTAAAACAACTTGTTCCTCAAGATTAAAATCTACTAGATTCTTGTTTCATTAGTTGAATAAAACAAAAGTATGTCTATTGGATCCCGTTGTTTAGAGCTTGATAAACCAGTTTCAGTTTTAGCCCAATTCATATTTCACAGTTGTGCACTTTCCAGCTATAGCAGCCAACCCAGAACAATCCTTCCCACACACTTTAAGTGCATCGTCAACTTGGTATCCAAACAAGCATATAATCGGGCTAGATGTGCTTTGGGTTAGGCGCATTGGGTTTATTGTGATGTTCACTCGTAGATGCTGTGCCTCCTGATTTTTTACTCACCGTTTCCTCGCCCCTACTGATCTAAAAAAAACTGTCATGTGTAATACTGGCAAACCAGCAGTTACCACCTTATTATGTGCTTCCAAGTTCTCACCGAGCCAATGAACTTGCCTCCTAAAATGAATGGATAAAAGAGAAAAACATGCAGAACATATAACCTTTTTTGGTTACTCCCTTGATTGTTCCAATCTATCTGGCGGTGAACTCAGCAACCCCACCTCCAAATTCTGTTGCTGTTCCAAACCCATATCACTCTTTGCTGTCTTTGGCATTTGACCCATGTTCCATTAGAGTTGGAATCCTTTTCATTTCTCGAATTCTCGAAAGAAATAGAGGGCTCCACTTAGAGAGATAGATTATGTATAGTTTTAGATTAGGTAAGTCCCATAAAGTTTAGATGTTGACCTGATTTGAAAAATGCTCGCTTATCTTTGTTATCTTCCTTTCTTGTCTATATCGAGCCTACGACTACACCCACACAGATGCTTTCTTCCTCATCAACCTAGCAGTTGTCACAGGTAGACGTCCTGGTTCATGTACAATTTCTGATTTTACAGTTTTAACAATGACACGGGCTGACTGAAATCTGAAAACAAGAATAGGTCTCTCTTCACTACCACACCTCCACTTCTTGTCAGTCTTTTCACCCAATGTGAGCCACAGGATGTCCCTAGAGAGACGTTTGTTGTTTCCATCACAAACCCTGGTATTTCTTTTTTCGATCCTATTTCGCTTGACAATGTTGGATTTATGGTGTCCTGTATCTTTGCCTCCCATACTTCAGATTACATTTTCGGCATGTCCTCTCCATGCGACGGACTTGCAATAAACTGTATATTTTCACTTTTTGCAGCTTTGTTTGGCTTCTTATGTTACATTCAACATTGACCTGGCTCCCTAGGTCTGATCACCAAATTCTATAATCAAATCTGTGGAAAATGATTCCCAGATGAAATATGGATTTTCTTGATGCCAAGAACAAAACCAAAATAGCGTTGCATCGTCTATGCTCATGAACCCATTGCAACTTATGTAACCCGTGAATTTCCTAAACCTCAAAAACAAATCTGCCCTTGCCATCCACCCAATAGGGTCTATCCCCTAAATGTTGGCAGAGTCACCTTACGCACTTCCTCCATCTCAAGCAACATTGGCACTCTCCCAATTGTTAGGGACCCAAAGAATTGAGTTCATCGAAAGAACTATTTTACTAAAAGATAACGGAAGAATAAAAAGATATAGAAATGATTGGAGAGAAAACTCTCCTCCAATGATTCCCCTTCCAGTTGCTACTCTATTCACAAAAGTATACAATATTCAATGATGCTCTCTGCCTCTAATTCCCCTCCCATTTACTAATATCTTCCCTAGCTAATTCCTTATAAAATGTCCTAACAAACTCCTTATCCTATATCCAAACACGAATTGTAGTACATGGACATAAGCAAATTTTGTAGAGCATACATCCCATGTCCTACAAGAATCTAAGGATCTTCGGTTATAGAAAGTATTTTATGTTCTCGAATATTTGTGTAAGACGATAAGAAAAAGTCTTTTACTCTTTTACAGTGGGGAACAGTGAATGCAAGATAACAACTTTGTGATTAAAAATTAGTGTGAAATCTGAAAATGAAAACATAGGCATGTTCAGTTTAAGAAAACATCTTTTGTTTTTATTTTCTATTTTCATTTTCAATTGCAAAATTGCCCTTGCTTTCATTCCCATTCCTGTTTTTAAAGATTTGTACAAAAAACATTGAAAACTAAATATAAATGTCTGAAAACAGAAACTAAGGGACTGTTTTGCCAAAAAAAATGAAAACAGTAACATTCTCAAACCAAATAAGAACATCACAAGTCTAAGCATAGCTTGGTACTTCACTGTTCCCGAGCAAGTCATGCTTGTATAGAAGGGAAGTAAACTTGAAAATGTAGCAAGTCTAGGATAATACTTACATTTTCCATGTAAACTGATTCTAATAACTGACTCAGTCCTTTAGCGGATTGCCCTGAAATTGGTTTGATTTGACCACCCCCATTTAAGCAACCTGCATCAATGAGCATTGTTTTCAGTTAATTCCTACTCCATTTCTGAGTCTCTGGAAAAAAATAATATTGAAAACCACTAAAAGCAACAAATTAATGCAATTCCAGATGATTGAGAAATATGGTACCTGAAGGGCATGCCATGATTTCCAGGAAATGATAATCAGATTTCCCTGTTTTAAGTTTTCGTACAATGTTTTGCAAATTCCGGAAACCATAGCAGAGAGCAAATTTCAACACTGTTTCTCCCTCCACCTGCATAGACAATAAGATTTAGAATAGTGAACACGAGTAGTACAAGACTTCCCGAAATAGGATGCAGACACTCTTGGAAGAAACCAATATCTATCTATCCATTATTGTTACATTAGAAAGGTATTTCAATTTTCAATTGTTTGAGATGGACCCAACATAGCAAAACAACCCATTAAGATACTCCCTCTTTCCCATATTATTTGTCACAATTAATCATTTCACATATTAAGAAACAGTAATAAATGAAAGAGAGAGAATAGTGACTTTACCAAATTATCCTGATTAACTATTAGTATATTCAAATTAACATTAATGTTAAGTGAGAAAACAATAAATTAAAAGTATTTATTAGAAGGTATATTTGGAAGATTAAATATAAAGTTGCATTGGTAATCTAAAGCGACAAGTATTTTGGGACAAATTTTTTTCTTAAATGTGACATTTATTTTGGAACGGAGGGAGTATCATATTCTAAGCTGGAATGGGATAATCCAAAATAAGATGAAATCTCTAAATAATAAGAACTAACCCCAATTTACAAACCCTAATTCGAAAACTAATAACCCAATCTTAATAAGAATGTGATATGAAATGACATTTTCAAGATATGAAGAAGTCGAAACCCTGATTTGTAATGTGAATTAGCAGTCTCTAACCCTTGTTTGGATCTCATATGTGGAAGCTTTATAACACCATATTCCTCTTAAGTAATTAGATAGGAGTAATATAAAAAAAGAAGTGGAACATGAATTTTATATACAAACCTCACAAAAGATGTATATATTACTATTAGCAAATAACCTGGTTTGCATGATAATAATTCCCTTTAGAAGGGGACCTGAGGATTGCTAAGTGGCTGGGGGATTTAAGGAGAGGAGTGACAAAGAGGGGTCAAGACTCTAGAGTTTAAACCCCACTCCCGACATTACTTCAGCAGAGGATCTGACTATTTTATTGCAAGTCTCCTATTGCACACATCTCAAAGGTCTATAACTGAAATAAGCTTTTGAAATACTGAATTGCTATGTATTTTAAGCACACTCCAAACATCTAGATAATAACCATTGCACAAGTACTTGTATTTATTTAATACTTGTTTCCTCTCATTCCATTTTTTGACTTTTTAACCTTAGGATTGCTTCACAACAGTGCATACAACTGGTCGACTCTGGCATTTCGAAACATACTATTTTAAGCATACTCCAAATATCTAGAAAATAACAATTGCACAAGTACTAGTATTTTTTTAATACTTGTTTCCTCTCATTCCATTTTTTGAGTTTTTAACCTTAGGATTGCTTCACAACAGTGCATACAACTGGTTTGACTCCGGCATTCCAAAACCTATAGTATTTTATAACACTATTTATAATATTTCATACTTGTGAAATCCTGGCATTACAAATTTATATTTTGATTTTTTGCATGTAAAAACACCAACAATTTTTCTGCGTGAGAAACAAACCCTAGTTTGGGACAATGTTGGAGCATTTCGACTACCTCATTCCAGTCATGAATGGGAATATGAAACCAAAATAGTCGAAGTTCAATTAAGTTTTGAAACAGAGGGAAGGTTTTGAAATGACATTTTTAAAAATATGAAGAGCATACACCCAGAGAAACAAACTCTAGCTATAATGGACAGCAATCCCTTGAATTTTATCTTATAACATCAAGCAAAGATTGATGGTGAGAGGAATAAGCATAGACTAGTATTCATGTCAGAATAATAAATCACAAGAAATAGAGAGATGAGTTTTAAAACATATTTCCCCCTGTAAACTGTGCTGAAAATTTATGTCATTATGAAATAGTTCTTCACAGGTAAATAACAACTTTTTCATAGTAAAATACACTAGATAAACCTTTCCTAAGGTGGATAACAAACATTATAACATACATGGTTCTTCAAATGGCTCTTCAGTTTGTTATTATGCATAACATATATACCAAATTTTTATTTGGCTAGATATTCAAAGGTCCTAAGATCTAACAAAATTCCTCAAAAGAATATTATATATAAAAAAGTGTGTAACAACTTACCTCCAAAGTAACTTCCTGAAAATCTGAATTTCTAATGTTTCTAAAGTTCAAAGGGCCATCAATATGTCTTCCAAAAAGTGTTTTGGCAGCATATCGGAATATCGTTTCTGCATAACCTCCAGAGCTTCCACGGACCCCATACAGGTGTCCTTCTTCATTAATATTTGTTAACCTGCAAGCACCACACTGTGTCAGAACATCCTTGTTTGACAATCTCGGCAACTTAAGCAAAGGAAACAGTTATAAGTCTCTTACAGTTTATCCAAAGGAGCTTCTTCTATGCTCTTAAAATCAACTTCTTTTGACTTAAAGATTGAACCGCAAACATGAGTTAATATACACATCAATAGTAAAAGTGAAGAATTCACACAAAAAATGATGATATGCAGGTATGCATAAAATTTACTAACCTGAATTAATTCCAAAATCTCTCCAGTTGTCAGTACTGAATCTACCTCCGAAATCAAGTTATCTTCTTCGCCTTCATGCCCTTCAGCATGGGGCTCTAATTGAAAAACAAAGTCATCCCTAGAAGCCTCTAGCTTCTTATCATAACAAGGCATAACTGTGACATGGTATACTTCATCTGACCTGTTGAAACAAATACTCGAGCATTTCAATAAGCTATTCTAGGAATTGCAGCATGCCAAACATAACATAGGTTGTAAGATATCATCAAAGTATTAGTAACCCCCACAACTTTGGAGTAAAATCACAACCTGAGTTTCATATCTTCACATACATAGCGCTTTATGATAGTTCCAATTGTTTGTTGGGGGCTCTTCACTGATGAAATGTAAGGTAGAACAAAGGATTCAAGTTTCTTTTCAGCATAGCATATCCAACCTGCATATGTTCACACCAATAATCAAAACGTAAGTATATTTCCTCCACGACTCAGGACTTACCACTAAAGCCTATTAAAAAGTAATCGTGCTCCTTTCACAATAGAAATGAGGAGCCATGTCGGTGAAAAGCATGGATCGTAGTAAATACAACTTCTTGAAATTCCAGTTCAATTTCCTACTTCCAAATCCAGAATAAAAATAATCATACCATCCAACACAATGTTGTCTACGGTGGATTGCGGAAAATAGCAGCGAGCTAAAAATCCGTCATAAAAATATGGCAGATGGCGGAACGGAAAATTGCAGAAGCATGGCGGACAAACAAAAAATAGTAACATCACCAAAAAAAAAAAAAACAGAATTCATGAAACTTAAAAAACAGAGTTATATATGAAGGAAACTAGAATTCATATCTCAAGTTCTTCAAAATAGACATTACAAGGTAAATAAAATAGATGGAGCATGTCTCGAGTACTTCAAAACAGAACTAAAAAATAAATATAGTAATAACAATGTAACATAAACTAGAAAAAAGAAATTGTCTATACTAAACAGAAGAAAAGATAATAGAGCACTAAAAAAACAGAGCTGGAGAAAAACCTAGAATTAAAAAAACAAACAGTAATTCCATAGTAGCATAACATGTAAAGAAGAACATTAGAGAAGAAGGGACAAGAGAAACAACAGAGTAAAACAAAAAAGAGAGTAGTTGAGAGGATTAAAAAAGAAAAGAAACAAAACTAATAAAGAAACAAAAGAGAAAAAAAATCTGAAGAAGAGTACAGAGGGAGAAGAAGAAACGTGGAGAATGGATGTAAGTGTGTGAGGGACTTTTAGTGAGGAGAGAATAGAGAAAATACTAAAGGAAATAAAAATTTGTATTATTGAATTGTATCAATAATGATACAGACTAAGACTATTTATATACAACCCTAATTGAGCTTAGATCTATACAACTTGGATTATATTTAAATATTAAATCTAATCAAATCTAATATAATATTTTAACAAATCTAATTTAATATTTCAACACACTCCCATAATCCAAGTTGTCGAACATATGCTAGTCATAGTCGATCTGAACTATTCCTAATTTCTTTCTCAAATTCAGGAATTTGTCGGTCTTCAATCTTTTGGTAAAAATGTCGGTCAACTGTGCTTCACTCGAGCAATGTCTTACTTCAAGTTCACCTTGATTTATCTTTTCCCTCAAGAAGTGAAACATTGCTTCAATATGTTTACTTCTTCCATGTAGAACTGGATTTTTCGCCAGATTTATGGCTGACTTGTTGTCGATTTGCAATACAAGAGATTTCTTCACTTCGACCTTCATTTCTTCAAGTACAGATCTGATCCAAATTGTTTGATATGCAGCATAGGATCCTGCTATATATTCCGCTTCACAAGATGATAATGCCACAGCAGGTTGTTTCTTCGAACACCATGATATTGGGGCACCAAATACTTGAAAGAAATATTCATTTGTGCTTCTTCAATCTTCCTTATCTCCATACCAATCAGCATCTGAAAAACAATTAACTATTGCTTCTTTGTCTTCAGAATCTCGTCGAAATAGTATTCCACAGTTTATTGAACCCTTCAAATATCTCAGGATTCTTCTTGCAGCCTTCATATGTGACACTCTTAGTTCACTCATATATCTGCTTACTAATCCTACAGCGAAACCTATATCAGGTCGACTGTTGCACACATACCTCAGAGATCCCACAATTTGCTTGAACAAAGTTACATCAACTTTGTCTTCCTCTCCATTATTCTCTAATTTTACATTTTGTTTGACAGGTGATGATGCAGGATTCGAGTCATCCATTCTAAATCTCTTGAGTGTTTCTTTGACATACTTCTTTTGATATAGCACTGATCGGTCACCACTCTTTCTTGTTTTCTATCTATTATCCGGCACGAAACTGCATCATTGGTAACACCTTGCTTAGTTTTTTTACTGTTTTGATCACGTATTTTAATTTTCACATTTTGTTTATTTGCATTAGTTTAGTTTGAATTTTGAATAAATAAGATACTTTTGAAGTCTTGGTCTGGTAGTTTTTGTATTTCCAGGTCCTGGTGAAATTGCACAAGAATAGAGGCAAAGTTGACAAGTTTCTAAGCGTTTTCTCCAGAAGTCCAGTAGCTGACACGGGTGCCCGTGTCACCTGACACGGGTGCCCGTGTCAGAAATGTTGATACTTAATTAGAGAAAAGGGGATTCCAGTGGCTAACACGGGTGTCCGTGTCACCTGACACGGCCCGTGTCAGAAAGTCTGATAGGCGAGCTTTTGTTGAAGGATTTCAGTGGCCAACACTGGTGCCCGTGTCACCTGACACGGTCCCTGTTGGCAGGCGCGAGACAGAAAAGTGAATTGTTGAAATCGATTTGTTTGAGTTCATTGAGGGTATTTCGGGCTTTCTGTATAGCTGTGGGGTAATCTGACACTACTTAGACCTAGTTTTTTAGAGAATTAAGGATGAACTTTTTGCATCAGAAAAAGAAGAAATTAGAGAAGAGGAGAAGAGCGGCCGAGGGTTTGGGAAACGAAGATCATCAAGAGCGGAAGCAATTGAAGATCGGAGCAATTCCATTTTCTTGTAATGTTTAACTTTGAATTTGTATTTTCTTTGAATATTATGAGAAGCTAAACCCCCCAATGCTAGGGGGGTGTCCCTGAATTGCTTTTGTGATGAACCGAATTTCTATACTTTTATGAAATCTATGTTTTTATGTATTCAATGTATCATACAATTTCTTATTGCTTGTCCTATTGGAAAATAGGGTATTGATCTATGGGTAAAATAGGTTGGACAGATCACTTTCTCTCTAATTGTATAATAACATCACTAATCTCTCTTAGGAATAAGGATCTAATAGTGATGATCGTAAGTTCTTGATATTTATATATGTGTTTGACATAATTTTGAATAACTAAGGAATTAGGATTTAAAATTATATGTTAATGATTTCTTGCTAAGGAATTAGGGGAAATAACTCTTGAGAATCGGTATTGGATCACATTAACATAGATGGTATAAAATAGAGGTTCAGTTTATTACGGAGCAATTCATACATCTTATTCCTAGCATGCTTCATCATATCGTGTAAACACTCTTTACTTTTTGTTTTAAGATTCACAGTGCAAATTATTATTACCTATCTTCCAACCACACCAATGTTCTTTTGTTTAATTGAATCATTATAAACACTGATAGTTCTGACGCAGTCCTCGAGATCGATACACGGGATAACTTCCTTTTATTACTACATTGATAAAAATAGTACACTTGCTATTTTATCGATTAAACACCATACCATGCTTCGACATTTGAAATTCCATACCTAAGAAATAAGACAATTTTCTCAGATCAGACATTTCAAATTCCTTCATCATCGACTCTTTGAACTTCGACAAGTTCTCCAAACTATTTCTAGTCACTAGCAAGTTATCGACATATAAGCAGATGATCGTTATATCTTGTGCTACAACCTAAACATAGACACCATACTCAGATTTGCATTTGACAAATCCTAATTCGACTAAGTATGTCTCGATCTTCTTGTTCCATGCCCTAGATGCCTGCTTGAGGCCATAGAGCGCTTTGTGCAACTTATATACTTTACTCGCTTCCTTCTGAATCACAAACAACCTCCAGGTTGTGTTACATAGATTTCTTCGTCTAAAGGACCATTCAGAAATGCTGATTTCACATCTAAATGAAATGTCGACCAGCCTTGGTTGCATGCCAAAGATACCACTAGTCGAACAGTCTCCAATCTTGCTACTGGAGCAAATACTTCAGAGTAGTTGAGTCATTCTCTATGAAGAAACCATCGAGCTACTAATCTTGTTTTATGTCTTGCTACCGAGCCATCAGCATTATGTTTCAACTTGAATACCCATTTTACTTCGATAGTTTTTGTATGTGCTGGCAATTCGACTAACTCTCATGCGTTGTTTCTTTCGATTGTCTGTAACTCTTCGACCATAACTAACTTACTGTTTAATCTTCAAAGTTTCGCTATAGTTAATTGGTTCAACACCTGCAAGTAAAACAAAATGAACTAATTCTCCATCTGGTGTGACTTCATCATAACCCACCACTTCATAATCATGAAGTCTTGTTGGAAGAACTCTATTTCTTTGAGGTCTTTGGCTTGTTTCAGCCACAGCCTCTTCGACTTCGACTGTGTCGGGAATGTCAGCAACTGCTTCTTCTTCGACTTCGACTGGATTCTCAACAATTCCTTCAACCTCTACTTCATCAGTTTCTTCATCGACATCAGAACTCGTCAATGGCTTGTTAATTGAATTGCTAGAACTCCAATCTCAAGCAGAATTTTCATTAATCACAATATCTCGACTCAACACAATTTTCTCATTAACTGGATTGAATAGTTTGTATGCACCAATTTTATGATATCTTATACCTTCTGCTTGCAACGAACTATTATCAGCAAGTTTTATCTTACTCTTCTTCGACTCGTCAAAATCTGTCGATCACTCCTTTCGATCAGTCATGTGGTTCGAGCAACCTGAGTCAGAAAACCAGATTTTAGATTCGACGTGGTTATCTGCATCTGTAGCCATAACCACCATACCACCTTCAGAATCATCTAAATCTTGACGTGAAAGGTTCGCTCCTTCGTCCTTGCTTGTCGATCCCTTGTCTTTTCTGTACCAAAAATTCTTGGCTACGCGACCCCACTTTTCACAGCTATAGCACTGCACACCTTTTTTATCTTCTTTGTCTTTTCGATAGTTTTCTCCTCTTTTCGAAGATCCAAAAGTCCATCTTCAACCTGATGTTTGTGAGATCTCGACCAAGACTTCTTGCCCTGAGTCTTGTCGAACTTGCCTTTGAACTTGTTGGAACCACCATCTTTTTTCCATGACTGAGCTTGCAGAGCCTGTATCGAGTCTTGCACTCCTTTCCTTTCGACAATCCTCATCTCATGCGCCTCCAACGAACCAACCAAATCTTCCACTTTAGTGGTTTCAAGATTGTTGGATTCTTGAATAGCTACGATAACGTGATCAAAGTGAGAGGTCAACGTTCTCATTACCTTCTCAACTATCATCTTATCAGTTATGATTTCACCACAACCTTTCATGAGATGGACGAGTTTTTGAACCTTCGACACATATTCTACAATATTTTCACTTTCTCTCATCGATAACAACTCATATTGTCGACGCAAGGTTTGTAACTTGACAACCTTGACTTTCTCACCTCCTTCGTAATACTTCGCCAGAATATCGCATGCATCTTTCGCCATTTCAGCATGAGAGATTCTGTCGAAATTAGCAGCATCGATCGCCGTCTGAATGCAATAAGCAGCCTTGCAGTCTTTCTTCTTGACTTCGTTGTGGGCTCTTTTTCTATTCGTCGGTTGCATTTGCAGTCAACGCAGGAACGCCGTCGGTAACCACTTCTAGGGTTTCATGGAAGCCAAACAAAGATTGCATCTGTTTTTTCCATCAGATCCAATTCTTATCGTCAAGCATTGAAAGAGAATTCGGAATGCCCTTATCACTAACCATCTTCGCAGCGGTTGATTCACTTGTCCTAGAAACACGATCTCTGACGTGAAATTCTTGAAAACTCGATCAAGAACAATAACCGGAAGCTCTGATACCAATTTGTTAGTGCGTGAGGCACTTTTAGTTAGGAGAGAATAGAGAGAATACTAAAGGAAATAAGGATTTGCATTATTAAATTATACAAATGATGATACATACTAGAATTATTTATATACAACTTTAACTGAGCTTAGGTCTATACAACTTAAGATTATAATTAAATATTAAATCTAATCAAATCTAATCTAATATTTTAACAAATCTAATTTAATATTTCAACAATGAAAAGGTTGCAAGCGTGGGAATGGAAAGGTTGCAGTGTGTTTTGGTTTTGTAAAAATTTAATCAGAGTAGCTATTTGTATTTAAGAGTAGTTAATTGTATTTAATGAGGGTTATTAGTAAATAATAAGAATTATGATTAAGGTTGGGTAAATAAATACCGGTGGTGAAAAGTCAAAAATAAATAAATAAATACACAGACACAAATTTTCAATTTTTTTTTTAAAAACTCGCAATTTCCGCAATTTACGCCATACTGCCATGAACCTTAAACTCGTGGCGACCGCCATGGCGCCGCAATGCAAAATCCTCAACGCCATAGCTTTTCCATGGCGCTATTATGAATTTCCGCAACTGCAATCCACCATGGCCGCAATTTGACAACACTGACATGTCTTCGTACCTTCTACCTAAGTTAAACACATGTCAAATATGACCCCTAGAAATATAGTTACTGATAATTTAATACCTTACATATTTTTTAATACACTACACTGAGTTTTGTTCTTAGATTTGAATATAGCTATGTCATTATGTATGTGTCAAGTCATGTCTAGCATCCAAATATATATGCTTCACAGAAACAATCGGCCAAAACTAAGTTGAATTTCTATACCTGGGCATGCAGATGCAATCATGGGTAGGCTTGACTTACTCCTCTCATCATCTACCAATTGACTTTGTTTATATCTTGTGATGAATTCCACACAAGATTCGATTAGGGTCAAGTCTCTACTGCAACTTGTATCAAAAATAGCCCTCACCCCCAAAGATTTGAAAAAACTTGTCAGTTTTTTGAAAACCTGAAAGATCAGAAGTTATACACTAAACCCAGAGAGATCAAGAACTTGGAACTTAGCTTCCCAAATTTTTTTCAAAGAAGAACCTTATAAGAAAAACTGAGAATTTGTGAGCAAGAGCAGTGTGTCACCTGAACAGGAGAAATGCCAAAATGGGCTGCAATAGAAGCCCTCGACTGAGGAGAAACAGACACTATCACTGCCTTTCCTTGATTAATATTGGATAGAAACTCGTCCAAACCTTGCTTCTCCAGCATAACTGTCTCTGCTGATGTGACACATCCACTGTATTACCAAACAAACATTATAATTTTGTAAAACACTTGGCAACTTACACTTTGACATTGGCAACTACATAGATTTAGAAGCATAATCAACATAAAGCTTTTAATTAACCTCTTATGTGCACTTAATATAGAAAATACAGGATGAAACTAATAACTATATATCTAAAGCTCAAAGCAGGCTGCATTTATTTAAGGCTTTTAAATGCTCTTTTCAAATGTTTGCAACTTGTAAATAATCAATTGGGCTACTTGATATTCTCAAACACCTATTGGCCCCACTCAAACATAATTAGTTTAAGCTGGAAAAAAACAACTTCCCAGAACCAGAACATTGTAGGGTTGAATCCTTCTAAGATGAAGAGACATAGTATTTTTCACTCAGCAACAATATCATCCGGGGTATATTTACCAAATACATAATAGACAAACATTACACCAGCCAAAAACCAACACCGAAAATACAAAACGAAAAGTAGATAGAGAGCTCGAGAGAGATGATTACCTGCATGCCAAACAATCCTTGAGCGAGATTTTAACAGGTTCTGACTTCACTTGTCTGTCAGCAATTGACACCTAGAGTTAACAAAGAAAAGCAAAACTTAACAAACAAGCTTTCTTCGGTTTCACAACTAATGAGCAAAAGAAAATGACTCTATTAAGATAAGCTGCAAAACAAAACTTCGAAATTTTCTACCTCGACTTTATTGGGCTTTTTCGCCCCCTTGAGAGAGACTATGCATGCCTGTGAAGGTGCAATGAAATCGTTGAGATCTCCAATCCGAAGCGCCGGCGAGAATTTCTCAGACATCTCTGACAAGTGGTCAACGATTTCTTTAGATAACTTTAAAAAGTAAGAGCTACACAATAACAAGTGACCGTTAAGTAAACAATCAGAACAACATTTGCTTAAAGAATACAAAATTAGGGTTTCGATTTGAAGGTAATGAAAAAATGAAGACGAACGCATGCCACTACTTTGCGAACTTAGTATGAATTGAACTCCAATCACAGGAAGTTAAGTTTTATTAAGAAAACAAATTATGGATGAAGGTTGAAAGAGAAATAAAATAGAAGGAGGTGGTGGAGATAACAGGTTACCGTGAGGGAGACGCCGGTAAGATGGAAGGACAGGCAGGGACTTGAGCGGCTGTGATGATAGAGGCGTTGGTGTACTGATTGATGCTGACCTGAACACAGCGATTAAAGGAGGCGATGGTATGGCGGCTGCAAAAACGCGAGTCGCGGCACAGAACTATAAACGAGTTGCTGCGGTGAAGAGGGAACGGCGGCGCGACGTGAAATGAGAAACCGGCGGCGAAAGTGTGTTATAACGGTGTCGTTTTGATGATTTCTTATAAATTTTACCAAGTGTGGTGGTTCAACAAATTGGCTGTATCGAGTAAATCTACAACTGGGTCACGGGTAATCATGTGGTAGACATGTTTTTAAAATATAGATAATATTATTCAATCAAAATTATTTTATATAAATAATATATATTTTAATTTTTATATAATATCTTATATAATTTTGTATTTTAAATTAGAAATAATTTCAAAATAAAAATATTAAATATATATAATAATAGAAAAATAAAATATTTTTATCGTATTTGAATTAATATATTATTTTTACTTATAATTTTTTTTTAATTGTACAAGAAATATAATAACTCTATTTAAATACGATTATTCATATATTTAGATGGTATTGATGTAATACTTGTGTGTTGTATGTTCGTATATTAGAGATGTATTTGAATTACCAATATACTTTTCTCATATATATATATATATATATATATATATATATATATATATATATATATATATATATATATATATATATATATATATATATATATATATATATATATATATATATATATATATATATATATATATATATATATATATATATAAGTACAACCCAATACAAAAGATATAAAATTCTCTCATATATATATCAAAATTTATATCATATATTTTATTAAATTATCAATCAATAATAAATATTATTCATTTTATTAGGTAAACTTTTAAAAATAATGATTTTTCTTCCGTTAAAATCATTCACTTTATTCTTTAATACTTGAAAAAAATATATACATGAATTTTATAAAATTAATTTTAATAAACACTTGAATTGAAAATTTCCAACTATTATAATTGAAGCTTTTTTAATTTTTATATTTGTTAAAATTATAAAATATTTTAGCGAAGTAAAACTTCACAATATTTATATTTTACAATAACTTTTACATATAAACATATGCGATGATGCTTTAATTTTAGTTTAAAAATTCAAAGCTTCAGGTTTTTGACATTATATTTATAGCCATAAATTGTGCAAAGATCGTAGAAAGATTGAAACTAAAATATAAATATCAACACCACCTGAAATATGGAAACGTAAAGAAAAAGATAATATTGTTGAATGAACGATTGGTATTAGGCTGTTTCTTTTTTATTAGAGTGGATCGTTAAAGTTTTACGTTGAGTTGAAGTTGAAAGCGAGATGGTGGTACCTGCAAGACACTCTGATGTCAAAGTAAGTTTCAAAGAGTGCAAGCAAGTGTGAGTATGAGAATGAGAATGAATATATGACCCTCTCGAATGAGAGGGTATTTATAGCCTCAGCGCTGGGCCAAGGTCCCTATTATTAGGTCACGTTGAGGCCCAATAATGAAGACTGTCAAGGTTTGCGTGTGTATGGAGTCCAGCAAGTGGACTCCCTCCTGGTCAACTACTCCGTGAGAATAGGGGTTGGACCCGTGATTTCTAGAGGATAGTTAAGATGACGGTGATGAGGGCATGTGGGTCACGTTCCCCAACGGATGCGTGGGGAGTTGCCCAACGGTCCCTAGCTTGGGTTGCTTGCTTTTGGGTCTTATACAAGGATGTTGGATTGGGTCTCCCAACCGTGGGGCAAGTGCAGACCCAGTTCAGATCAGGAGCCCCCTAAGTTATTGCCCTTAGGTGAAAGGGTGATGGCTTGAGTTCAGCTTTTATAGTCGTAGAGGATTCGGTCGGGAAGGAAGGTCGAAGTCCTCTGAAAGGAAGCGAGTTGTTGCCCGCGTCGGGGACAACCTATTTAAATGTGTCGGGGATCTTGTGGACAAACGAGCAGTAAGACCGACTGGGTTAGTTGTTTATCCGACAGGAGCATATCGATTACGGGGAGCTTCCACGAATTCTCTTTCGACGTATCCGTCTTCAAGGGGTTGTCACGATGTCGAGCGTTATTTCGCCCTCGAGGTGGATCTCGACGAATGTGCCTGTATGCATGTCTTAGCCAAGATATCAAGCATTCCCTCGTGTGAGGCGTTTGCCTCGTGCTCGCGTAGGGAGTTGTGTTGAAGTCGGGAACATGTTCGTCTCTTAAGAATGGACATGTGGTTGATTGTGGGGTCACGTGTCTGTTGCCTTGGGGTGCCATCCTTTCTTGGGGAGTCCAAAAGACCCAATCCAATGATGATTTTCGTGACGAACCTTGTGAGGTGTGAGCCACCTATAAAAAGGGGACCCTTGGGTTTCATTTGTCATTTCTCAAGTTTTCTCCTTCAACTTACCTTGCTCGCACGTGGATCCTCTCCTCTCAATTTTTCCAAATTTCTTTCAAGAATCCTTCATTCAAGTAAGTCATATCTCCTTAACAATGTATTTCCTCGGTGTTTCTAGATTAAATACTCAGTTTTTTCCTTGATTGGATGAATCTTGGATGAACATTCATGAGTTATGCGATGAATATTCATGAATGTTCATTGAAGTTCATGAGTTTGTGATGTCGGGGAGAATCTCCTCGAGCAATTGTAAAGATGTCAGGGACGACTTCCCCGAATAGTTGGGGTTGACTCGGGCTTTTTGCCCATTTGACTGGATATCCCCAATGAAAGTGTAGTCCGTTTTAGTGTGTAGTTAGGGGCTTGGGTCGAGGTTCGCTCCTCGCCCGCTTCGTTGCCCTTTCACTTGATCTGCGGTGGAAGGGTGAATTTGATAATGTTGAATCCACTGTTTTCCCCTGCTTTTCATGTATAATGGCCCACTCAATCGGGGATGATGTCATGTCCGCCAACTACGAAGACGAAATCAATGTCAAGGAGGACCCCTTGGCTTGGGTCGCACCTGAGCCTCGAAATAAAAGATCGTTCTTTTCGCACGACGCAACGGACATGTTCAACTGTCCGAAGGTTCGGGCTGAAGGGGCCCCCGCCAACTGGATTTTTCAAATTCCCCATTGCAACCGGAGAATCTGCTCGACATATTCAAGCAAACATTTTCCTATGTACGAGTTCGCGTTTAATAGGGATGTCAATGGGGCGGGGCGGGGGCGGGGGGACACTTCCCCATCTTTTTCCCCGCCATCAAATTCATTCCCGGTCCCCGTCCCCGATCTCCGTCACGGGAGAATTTCTATCCCCATCCCCGTTCCCCGCGGATCCCCGTTCCCCGCGGGGATCCCCATAGATCCTACATTTATTCATTAATATTTTATTTTTTTAAAATGTTATATTTTCTATAAAAATAAAAAGCACAAAGAATTCACATATTTATTATGTTATTAAAAAATTCTAATATTTACATTTCTCTCTCTTAATAAATACATGAATATTTATTTATTTATTTTTATAAATAAACATAAAGGAAATGACTAAAAAACCTAATCTAAAATATATATATTAAATTAACTATATTAAAATAATAGGCGGGGCGGGGTCCCCGCGGGGCGGGGGGTGTATTCCCCGTCCCCGTCCCCGAAATGCTCTCGGGGGAATTTTTCTCCCCATCCCCGCCCCCACGGGGGAAAATTCCCCATCTTTGGGGCCCCGAACGGGGCGTTCCCCGCGGGGATCCCCATTAACAGGTCCAAACTGACATCCCTAGCGTTTAAAGAGGCGGGGATGCGTTTTCTCTTTAACGATTTCCAAGTGGGGTTTTTTCAGTGGATTCAATTGGCGCCCTCTCAACTTCACCCAAACGCGCTGACGTTCATGCGGACGTTCGAGCTCGTCTATCAGTATCTGCAAATAGAGGTCACGTTGCCCCTCTTCTTTCGTATCTTTCACCTTCAAAGACAATCCATTGGAGGAGGACAAGCGTGGGTGTCCTTCAAATAGTTCGGGAAGCTCTTTAGGCCTTATCTGGAATTTGTCTGACACTTCAAAGAGAGGTACTTTGTTGTGAAACCTTTGACGGACGCGACCATAAACTTCCTATATACCCGCGTGGAGGAAGTGGAGGATGGGCGACCAGTTACCCGACTTGTGGCCAGGTTTCCGCTCGAGTGGCAATGGAAACACTTCGAGCAAAGGCCTAGGTATTATGCTGTAAAGCCTGAGGACCTGGACGCTCAGGACCAGCTCTCCTATGAAAAGCTGGCGACCTATGTTAGGAGCTTCTCCCCCGTGAGGTGTGTTGAAGTGAACAATAACCTCCTATTCGACAACAACAGGGAGTATCTCTTAGTTAATAGGTTTATCAACACGAAGGCCCTGCTCGAATATTCCTCAAATGAGGAAGTCATGAGGCTTTTAGGTAGGGGACGTGGTCGCGATGATTATTTTGTTTGTTTTTCTTGCGGGGACGTGCCTGCGTTATTATCCTTGTTTAACCCGTGACTAATGGTTTCTTTTTTTATTGCAGGTCGAATGGCCTCCCTCTCTGAGCGCTTATTGAAGTTGAGACTCAAGAACGCGACTACCTCGGGGCCAAAGAACAGGGTCGCCCAGCTCCAAGAGCAGGGTAAATTTGTTGCTCGCGCCAGTGGTTCCCCCTTTTCATCAAAAACCCAGGTTCCCCCTGGCGAGCC